ACGTTCATCCTAGTATTTATGCCCACTACTGTGATTATTCGAAGCCAGTTTGTCGCCTAAGTCTTTCGTATTAATTTAATTGCACCGCTGCTTGTGATATCTATACATATGTATCTACATGCCTATATATATATAGTATGAGAAAATATTTTATATTTAATACGCTAGATATTCAGATACATATGTATGTATGTACATATTCAAATGGCCATACGATTTGGTGTGAGGTGTGCCGCCGCGCTTACCTAATAGACGGTGACGCGATATTGTGTCTAGATTTTGCAACAGAAGTTGGCTAACAAGTTTTCACTTGAATCAGAGTTTATTTAAATATATTATTTATACTTTTTAGTTTATATTTTTTGTTAATGCCTTTTTTAGTTCAGCAAAGAATAAAATATAATATTTAATTTATTTTTTCCATTTTATTTATTTTATTTTACTTTATTTTTAATTAATTTAATTTAATTTTATTTTATTTTATTTCTAAATATTTTTTGTTTTTTTTTTTATTTATTTTGGTTTATTTTTATTTTATACAACTCTATATTATTTTGAATTTTTGCTTATATAATTTTGTTTTTATTCAATTGGATTTAATTTTTATCTTCCTTTATGTAGTATTTTATTTTCATTTTATTTGATTTATTTTTTTAAATTTTATTTTATCTATTTTATTTGAATCTATTTAAAATTGTTTAATTTCATTTGATACATTTTTTTATTTAATAAATTTTAATCTAACATATTTTTATGTATTTTTTTATATTTTTTACTTTTAATTTTTTTTAATTTCTGTTATTTATGTTATTTTATAATTTAGTTTTTTTATGCTATTAAATTCAATTTTATTATATTTTATATGGCTTAATTTAATTTTTTCTTAATTTAGTTTAAAAATTCTGTTTTTATTTTCTAATAATTTTTAATATATACTAATTTTTATTATTTTATCTTGTTTTCTGTAATTTTATTTAACTAAATTCAAATTTTAATAATAAGTATTTGTTATTATATGTTTTATCTTTAATTTTTTTTGTTATTTTAATTAATTGTGCATAAATTGTTTATATATTTATTATTTATAATATTGATGAATTTAATTTAATTTTTGTATGGTTTTATTTTAGTTTTTGTTCTAATTTTAATTTTAATATAATTTTTTTTTATTTTGAATATTTGATTGTTTTAGTTTACATTATTTTTTATTTCCTTTATTTTTTTTTGTTTTTACTTTAACTTAATTTAACAAAATAAATATTATATATGTTTGCTTTTGCTTAACTCAATTAATGTTCGTAATTATTTTTAATCTTATTTTATTACAAATTATTTGAATTTATTTTTGATTTATATATTTTTGTTTTATATACTTTCATTTTATTTATTTAAATTTAATTTTTTTATATAATAATAAATTATTATTAATATTATTTTATTATGAATTATTTGAATTTATTTTAATTTTATTTTTCTTGTATAATAATTTTTTATTATAATATTATTATTCTGAATTTTTGTATTTTAATTTTTTATAATTATATTTTCGTTATAATTTTATTTATTTTTAGTCGTTTTAAATATTAATTTTGTTATTCTTTTATTTCATTTTAGTTTATATTTGAATTATATTAATTAAATTTAATTTTTTTCGTTATTATTTTATTTATTGTTATTGCTTTTAAATAATAATTTATATTATATTTTTATTTTATTTTGAATTGTTATATATTTATTTTGTTTCTATTTTATTTCCTTTTAATATTTAATATTATATTATTTTTATTTATTTGTTTACTATTTTAATTGTTCTAATGTAATTTATTTTAATATGTCTTGAATTAATTATATTTAAAATTTTTTATTTTATTTGAATTGTTTGGTACTTTATTTTTAATTTTGTTAAATTTCTTTTATTTTATCTCGCTTTTTTTAATTGAATCTATTTTTATATATTTTTTTTGTATTTCTATTTCTATTTTTTTTTGTTTTATTTATTATTATATTTATATTTTTAATTTGCTGTCTTGAATACAAATTTTCACATACATACATATGTTTGCATGTATTTTGATTAGTTTTTTGTTTTATTTTATTTCTCATATATTCGGTTTTGATTTCAAATGAGTTTTGATTCCCCTGCAAATTCATTTGTTTTTTTTTTCTTTCGTTGAGTCCGCTTGCCTGCTGGCTTAGTGCCATTTTATTTGCTTCTAACGGTTAGTCGGCCATCGTAATTCAATTGTGTATGTTGTCTGCTTGTGTAATTAACGTGTTAGTGCAAATTGCAGGCTAAATGGTGGCAAGCCACAAACACCCACCACCCACCTGTCGCCACCAACTTCCTAATTAATTGTTGTATTATAACGCTATATAAAAAGCGAAATTGTGCGCTGTCTTAGTGAAAGTATGTTAAGTGGTTTCCTTATTTTTTACTTATATACTCAGATATACATATGTATTTAAATTAAGGAAATATATCTATCTACTGTGTTTAATTTATTTGCATAATAGAAAAGTGTTATTGTTTGTAATTAATATGTTGCGTCAACTGTGATAATGACAGTGGCAACAGCGTCAGTGGTCTTTGAGTGATTTAAGAAGATAATAAACAAAAAAAAACTTAGTCCACCGAGAGCCTATTGTGGTGCTGGCATTGTCTTACCTTGTGCATGCCACATAATTCGCCATTTATCGCCGCTTTTCTCGCCATACATACAAATGTGGCAGCGCTAACGAGGCGTAATGCATTTCTTCCTCGTCTTCATCATCATCATCATCATCTCAATTCCACATTTCTTACTTCACACACAGGTGCATTATAAATATTTTATTTATTATGGCAGAATTAAATTTTCGCTTTTTTCTTTTCGTTTTGATTTCAGCTTCAGTTTGGTCTTCAATTTCAATTTCGATTTCCATTTTGAATTTAATTTCAACTACGTGTTTTGAATTGCTGAGTGACTCAGCCACCATTTTTGTGTAATATTTATTTGTTTTTTTTTTTTTCTTTTTCAATTTTTCTTACTTCTGTTGTCTGTGTGACCTTTAAAAGAAGTAGTGTTTGTTGTCTTTGTTTTTGTATTCTTGTGTTGAAAGTGTTGAGTGTTCAGTTTTTACGCGTTTGGCTTTGGCTTTTTATGCTGACCAAAAGCTATTGTTAGTCTGATTGTTTACTTTGTTTTTGTTGTGCTTTATTGTTATTCAAATTTTATATATCTCCAATAGTAGTAATTTTGATTTCTATAATTTTTATTTTTATTTTTACTTTTAGTCGTACGCCAACGCTCAATTTGATGATTCTTTATTTAGCAAAACAAAATATTTATGAGAAATTACACTTGTTAATTTTTTGATTTTTTATAAATTTTTTTTTAATAAAAATGACTAACAGCATAACAAATAAAATGTAGTTTTATCAGGAATAACTTAAGTTATTGCACAAATTTATATCGCGTTGTGCCTCTTTAATTCCTATTAATTATATGTTTGCATTTTGCTCAAGCATTTTTGTCGTTGTTTTATTTTTTTGTTTATTTAGCTTTGGTTACTTATATACACGAATATATGTATAATGTAACATTGTCTACTTCTTCGACCCTCGTCATATTTGATTTAAGAATTATATTTACACTTTGGAATCACCTGACTTAGTGAAGTTTTTTTTTTCAATTTCGATAACAAAAAGTGCAGTGATTTTTTTTGTTTATTAATCATAAATCGACACAAAGTTTACACTCATTTTCGGTTCTACATTAAATTAAAAAAAATTTCCAACACACGCAAAGCATAATACATAGTAATAACAATATATAATATTATATATAAAAATATTAGTTCAATACAAACTGCTTGAATAGAATTCTAGATTCATATGAAATTAAGCGTTTGAGCATCTCAGGTGTTAGTTAACGAGGTATTTAGACTGTAGCTTATACGTTGCTTTTATATTACTTTTTTATAGAAATTACCTTTTCATTGGTGGAAAACTCGCATTTTCACATGCATAAATTGAACTAAAATATAAATTTTTTATATTGTTATATTTGAATTTTTAATGTTTTTTTTTTCTCATATTATTCGTCCTTAACATTTTAGGTATACAATTTTTAATTTTTTTTTAAACTGCTTTGATCTCTTGATTCTTGATTTATATTTTTTGATGCTCTTAATTTTGTTTTATTTCTATTTATTTCCTCTTCAACTGAGTATTTTGGTTTAGCTTTTTTTTTGATAAAAAATCGTTTTCCAGAATTTACCGCACTATTTTTAGAAATTTTCATTTATCTTATATTAGGACAAGTATGGAGTCATCCTTTATTTTTGCATTAAGTTGAAGGCTTCATTTATATTTATATTTATATTTATATTTATATTTATATTTATATTTATATTTATATTTATATTTATATTTATATTTATATTTATATTTATATTTATAATTATATTTATATTTATATTTATTTTTTATATTTTTCACGCATGTAGTTTTATCTAATCATACATTGTTACATACATACAAGCATACATATGTATATGCATTTGCGATATTATTAATCTTTCGTCCCATTCATTCTGTGCTGTGACATATTTTTTCGATTGCGAAATTTTAGTTTCGCTAAGAAACAAATAATTTATGTACATACATATATAAACAGGAATAAATAATGAGTTTATTAATAGTCAGTTTTTGTGTTTGAATTGCCTTAATTCGTTGCTGATTCATGTTTTCTATAAAAAAAAAACATTTTAACAAAAATACTAGTGCTTTGCCGGCAACTGATGTTTTGAAGTTGTTGCAGTTTGTTGTTTGTTGCCATTTGCTGCTATACTATTTACATACATACCGTACAGACATATATTATTATACCTTATCCCTTAGCTAAAAGCCTTTTACTTAGCCGTTACTCGTTGCTTTCGAATACACATATATATAATTTTTGTTTATTTCAATTTTAACTCTTTCCCTTTTTTCATTATCTTCCACAATCCACTTTTAGTTACATCTTTGAGCGACCCACAACAGCCCCAGCGTACTGCCAAAGCAGCGAATGCTACAACCACAGCCAACGCTAATACAGCACACTTGAGATCAGCCACCGGTGCGGCAGCCACATCGGCGGCACACACCGCCGCAGCTGGAACTTCATCGAAGGTACTCATCAAGAAGTCGGGCAGTAATTCGTCTACGCAGAGTTCCAATCGTAAGGACAGTTTCGGCTCATATGATTCACTCAACGATATACTCTCTGAAACAGGCTTGCAGAGCGGCAATGTTGCTGCACAACGTAAATCGTTGGAGAATAAAAATTTAGATTTGACAGCGAATGCGGCGGACGCCAGCAGCCGATTGGCATTGAAGAAGCAACAATTACAGCAGCAGCAGCAGCAGCATTTGCAGGAGACAAAAACAATATTGACGAACAACGGTGGATTTACAACAACGACCACAACAACAACAAGCAGCATGATGTCGTCCAGCACAGCTGCGGCTCTGTCCAATGAATTGCGGAAGAGTTTGGAGAATCTGGATGAGAAGACGAAGATAACGCCACCACCAGTGCTGACGAAGAAGCCCACCGTGACAACGAAGAAGCCATCGAGTGTTTCGGGTGTTGCGAGTAAGTTGTTTGAATTTAAGTTAAGTAGAATAAAAATATATTTTATCTCTCCTTCTTCCTGCACAGGCAATCTCTTCGGCTTTGGTAAGCAAAAGACGAAAAGCACTGACAGCAAACTCACCACTGCGGTATCGCATGACATTGCCGATGGCATGGGTAGCAGTAAAATGTCTACGAGTAGCCAAAGCGAAGCAGTTGTCATGCGTCGTGCCGCCACCATTGCGGTAGAGGATTCAGATTTCGACCACCTCGAACGCGCCTCCATTTTACCGGACATGCGCGCGGGACGTGTTAAAGCGCCCAAACGGCGACCACCATCGGCGGCCATAAATATCATAGGCGAAAGTAATAATAACAACACAATATACCTCAACGGCAGCGGTGCTGGCGGCGGTGTATCTGCCGGCGAACTCTCACAAGATGAGGGCAAATTACAATCATCCGACGAGAATTCCACTGGTGAGGAGACTTTGGCCAAACCCAAGCCACGTGAATGGGAGAAAAAGAAAGCACCTTGGATGGAGGAGCTGAAAGCATCACAAGTAAAGAAAAAGACATCACCCAATGTGGAACCACGTACGCAAGTGGCTGACAGATCGTCATCTTTATTAGGCGATGATGTCAAAGTGACGAGCAACAATCACACGTCGAGTATCAGCAGCAGTAGTAGCAGTCACACGCATAGTAATAACGCAACCAGTAGCTCTGTTACAACCACGACGAAAATTCACTCGTCCTCAACGTCGGTTTCGTCGAGCCAAATGCAGCAATCGATGACTGTCGAAAGTAGTCAGCAACTGTTGAAGAAGGAATTAAATTCAAACACGATTGCTGACATCATGACGAAGAGTATGAGCAATAAATTCACCACTGACTCATCACTGTCAGCAGCAGCGTCGACCAACGCGCCGCCTATTGACGATGTGCGCATACGCCCCAACAGCCTATCGATACGCAACCGCAGTATGTCACCGTCGATGTTGGAAAGTAGCGGTACCGCGAACAGTGCGCGTTCAACGGCAATGAAGAGTAGTGCTTCGGTGGCACCCTCAGAGTCCAGCTCCAATGGCACTGTGCCGACAAATGTACCGACGGCGGCGACAGCAGCGGGCTCTAGCCAAAATTCAGCAGGTGCAACCAATCATTACCAGCAACGGACCAGCAGTGGCACTACGGCGTCACTGAGTGGTGATGGCACACGTATAGGCGAACTGGAGCGGCGTGTAGGCAAACTAGAGCTCACTGTGGTGACACAACAACGTACTATCGATGAACTGATGCGGTTGCTGCGCGAGGAAACGGATCGGGTGAAGGTGTTACGCGGCGAATTGGATAAATATGCGCAGTGCGTGACGCAAGTTTAATTGCATAGCAATATGCTGTAATATAATGCTTATTGTTGTTAGCAAAATGTAGCGGTGTTCAGTAGTGGTTGTGCCCCAGTCCCACGTAGACACCCCAAATGACAATGCGCTTGCGGGGGAAGAATGTAGAGCGCATATGGGTGGTTCTTCTTCTTATTTACCAGCATATTTCACTGCATTCCAATTTATTTTATAATGCGTTTTTTCTTCTTTGATTTTCCTTCTATAGCTATGTGATTATTTTATTCATACATTTAAGGGCATTGTAAAAAAGGTCCCACAAGTAGCGTATAACGAAATTTTGTATGCGACATTAGTATACCTAGTATTCGAAATGTGCTAAATTTTTTATTTTTCTTTTTATTGAAATCTATATTTTCATTTTGCTTGAATTTCTCACTGCGTCTACGATCGGATCGTAAAGTGGATGAGCGTAAATAATTTGCTTCTTATTAACTACTTAAAATTGGTTTGCTGAAATAAGAAATAAATATAAAAATATACCCAGTAGGCATAATTATAAAAGTGTTAAATACTACTATAAAGCGATATTAATAAAAGATAATTGTACCATATCGAACTGATTTTTAATAAATTAAAAACAAAAACAATTACTTGGTGTAATAAAAGCAAAACTTATATCGAACGCAGTACTTAACAGTAAAATGTGCTGTTTTTAGAAATTAGTAAAAAAAAACCAACAACTTTTATACAATACTATATATGTTTACATATTGGCATGTGTTTAGGCTACGCAAGCAAGAAAATCAATATTAAAAAAATTCACTAAAGAAGAAAAAGTAAAATTAAATTGAATTTAAATAAATTCGATATTATGCATAATTTTGATATTGGCAATTTAATATAAAATTTTAATTAACCTTCAAATGTAATTGAAATAAGATTTACAATTAAAAAAAATTATTTAATTTTGTTTATTTTGTTTAACAAAAAGGAAATCTTACAACTACAAGCAATTGCCAACAATTTGCTAATAATGCATATTTGTGTATGCCTAAACAAAGCAAACAACACGTGCATAAACTCACCCAAAGCAACAGAAATTACGCAATTTAAACAAAATCTGAGTATTTAGTAGTGTTCTTTTACTTAAAATCCCAACAGCAACGCTTTCCTTTACTTGTATAAATATTAATAGTTGATAACTATTATTTGCTTTGTTCAAAATTTAATTTTCTATTATCATTTCTACGCCAATCAGCGTTCCCATATGCAATGCGCTCTTTATATATACTTATTAATAATTATAATTATTATTAATTTTGTTTATAATACGAAATTCGGCAATTATGTATTATATTATATTAAAAAGAAAGACAATTAAATATTATTAGTATATAATACAAATTGAAATAATATAAAAAATAAATAGAATTCGTACGAAATTAATTTTGTTTTCTTTATTTTTAGTTTTTTATACGCATGTTTAGATGTTTAAAGGCATGTACATATGTATGCGCGTGCGTATGTGTTTTAGCATCGAGCTTTAGTGTATGTTTTTGCCGTATTTGCATTTCTCGTTTTATACGCAGTTTTTTGCTCATATCTACGATATTAGTTACAAAATATTTTTTTATACTAAAAAATATTTAGTTTCTCTTTATAAATTTGTAGTAATTTATTTTAATAATACTTTTGTATTTCTGATGCATATTTTAGCGTTCTAAAGTGTCACATGTCTTTTTCTCTTCTGCAATTTTCTTTTTCTATCTTTGCGTCCTTAAAAAAATATCTACAGACAGCAGTCAGCGTCACGTCGTGGTAAATTCGATAATTGGATGTTTTAAAATCTATTCAATTTGTGTTTTGGTATATCGCTTAAACTATTTAAAACAAAAAAAAAAAAAAAACTACAATAAACACACAATTAATATTTACTAATTCTATTGAATACTTTAAAAGTTTTATTTTCTATTTATTGCCACTACAATATAACTACTTAAATATAAATATTACTTGTTATGCATTCAAAAGTCGCTATAATAAAAGTAGTAATTATTTAATTATACATATGTATGTATGTATGTTTTATGAAATTGAATTTATAATAATGTACTATTTTGACAATCTGTTAACTGACAAAAGGGCTTAATGCTTACTTAATTTAAGTTAAAGTTTTTTGAATATTAAATAATCCATAATTAAATAAACTAAAAAAGAGTCAATTACATTCAGATTTGAATGGAAAAAATTTGACATTAATTAATCGGTTTTGTAAAAAGGCTCATATCAGCCAGACTAACTCCACAAATCACTAGCTTAGTTGTTTCTGTAATTTGCGTTGTTTTAGATGCAGTCACATCGATCAATCGAATGTATTGTCTTAAGGGGTCACATGGGTTTATGCGGCTAAAAAATGATCTGATTTCAAAAATTTGTTTTTATATAATTTCGCCATAAGGCCGTTTGCTGAATTCGTCGATGTCAGTGAAAAAGCAGATACGATGCATTGGCATGTCGTTCAACGGTATCGTCAGACGACGCTGTTGCGGTATGGTCGTTAGCGTTATCGTCATCGTTTTCTGTCGTCTCTTATCATCAGTCATTTAACTGACGATCCTTCAACATAAAGACGATACAGATTTTTGTAGCAGAAAGAAAAAGAAAAAAACCACATTTATCCAAGAGTTTCCAAAAAGGCGTTATTCAATACAATTTAAAAGAAGAGTTATTGCCATACAAATTAATGCAATTCATTTGATTAATTTAAGCTACATATTTTATTTTCAAATTTCAATAAAAAAAAAATAGATGAACAACAAGAAAGAGTCAAGAGCAACCAGCTGTTGAGGGGCTTACAAACAAATGGTATTGACTCCTCTTGAAGAATCCGTTGCAGATTTGGTGAGATTCGAAGAGCTGCAAAACCCAGCTGGTGCTATATTTGGTGCGAATGATGATAACAATGAACCGCAGCGCGACATTAGCTACGACAATACGTCAGCGGATTTAGAGAGAGTTCTTAAAATGCCAAACGAAGAATAAACTCGAGTAGTGATTCCATCAGCGGATGATATGCCATTTGCCGGCACTTCGCTTAACACAAATTCGGAAACGATCACCAGTCTACGCTGAGCATTTAAAAATTTTTCAATTCACATCGTTTGTATTCATTTCTTGTACAGAATATCATCTAAAGAGAAACGAAGAGCGATGAAAGTGACGACGAACATTGACGATCGTCCGCGAAGACGTAGACGATATTCAGCATAAAGGCCGAATGTTTTACTAAAATTTTATTCTGCCTTAATAATATTCCTACCCAGAATAGGCAAGACAGGTCATATGTACCCTAACGACTATCGCCCAACAGGTTAACTTCGTTGTTTCTAAAAACATTGGACCGTTAAATAGAGGTTCACATCAAGCAAACTGTAGATGAGATTCCCTTCTCATATCTCGAAAATCTGAAATATGCTTTGGGCATCTTCCTCTACACAACATTTTAAAAATTTTTTAAGGCATGGATTAGATTCAACAGGAGTTAACCTAACCTTAGGAATGGCATATATATGTATATATCACGCTAAATTGTAGGAAGATGTGGGGTGTGAATAGAGGAACACCTCATGTTGGAGTGTTATCACCTCTGCTTGACACTTTTGCGGTTAATGATTTACTGAAGAAGATGTAAAGAGACCTAGCTGCCATGCGTATGGCCTATAACGACGTTATCTTAGTCATAGTGGGGGCTCAATATGCGAATCAGGAAACAAGAACCACCAACAACTGAGCTAATTCAGAAGAACTTAAGATTAATATTGGCGAAAATAGATTTGTATCTATTCACAATGAAATAAAAAATATCAGAGCCACTTTATACCAGAAACTTGGCCTTATGCAGCTAACAGTTGTTTTAAATAGCAAGTTGTCTCCACGCTAGAGGAGCGACTGAGGAGGCATCAACGGTCCTATTTGTATATATGTATAATGAGTTTGGGCTGCATAGCCTCCTCGGTTATATCTCATTGTATCTTCGCTGCGTTTATTAAGCCAATACTACGGAGCTTTAATATGATTTAAAAGATACTGACTTTAAAACATATTTGGATAGGTTGGAAAGTGTCTTCAGACTTTCGATGATTACCATCAACGGTGCACTTAAAGTAACACCACCTGCAGCGCTACATGCTATTTTAAGCATTCCACGAACAAATCCAGTAGTTAAAAATAGAGCATTCCTTACTGTTGCTAGGCTATATGGTTCTAGGCAGCAGAAAATCAGGACTCAAATTAGGACATACGGGCACAGCAGTATAGCTCTACCACTAAGTGTCTATTCGCAAACTTAATCTCACGGCTGACTTTCGGTAAGCTGTTACCAGCTATAATAGAGGGGAATGGCCGAGACAAAGATCGCAAATATGCAGGCAAAGCTCTTCATATTTTTACAGATGGTTCTAAAATGAACTAGAGATAATAAAGTCATATGAGCAGGCAACCTCTCTTCCATTCAAGTTTCTTCTTTGAAGTCGAAATATTTGCTATAAAAATGTTGGCAGAGATACTGCAGGTTTTTTTAGTTTTCATAGAAAAAATATGCATTTATGAGGATAACAAAGCGGCCAAACAAGGACTTAAATTTAGACTCGTACATGAAGATGTCGGTTGTGGTTGCACCAACTAAATAGGTGAGACAATTGGTGACTGAAAAAAAGAAGAGTTTACTTTTTCTAAAGGGGATGTACTTTTAGGGCGTAATATTGGACCTACCAATTCAATTCAGAGGAATGAAGCAAATGCAAGAAGTAATCGTTCTTTGTGCGGCAAATTAACTCTGGGAATGAACGAATACTAAGTGCCGAACTTACAAAGTTTTTGCTAGCTGTAAAGAGGTCGGACTCTAGTGCAGGTAGAACTGTTAAATGCTTTCAAATAGGTCTGGTTGAGGACGACAGTGGAGCACGTAATCTTAAACGTTCGGCAGGCAAAAGGTGTGCTTACTCGGCGCACAAATGTTACAGGATCTTCAACTGTCTAAGGTCAATAGGCCAAATCGACTAGCTCAATTTACGGAATGAACAGCAAAGTTCTTCTCACTAGACACACAATAAAGTACAGTAGGGCAGCATGGTCGTATACAGTGTGTCAAGCAAGACTGTGGACGTAGTATTCGCTCAGTTTCGACTAAACTAACCTTTACTGTCCTAAAGATATACACATGAAAAAAAGAAATGCTGAAATTTTCAAACATTGCCATAGAAATAAAACATTTCAATGTTCCACGTCGTGGATTGTGTCTGGAAGAACTAGGTAAAATTTCATGAAGGTGGGTTGAATAGTTTCAAGAGAAGTCTCATATAAAGTTCAAGGCTGTATCTCCGAAACTTTTATTTGGACCGACTTGAAATTTTCGGGTTATATTCTCCAGATGTTGTAGAAATTAATAGGATAATAACAAAAATGGATTTTTTAAGCTGTGAAACCCATGACACCCCTTAATAGGGATGCAAGACCATGCAAGCTTTGCTTTGAAATGCATTTATTAAAACTATTAAAATTTAATTTAACTATTAAATTCATTTAAAACCAATTTAACAACTTTATATAATAATTTTA